GATCTGATGAAAACAATACTATATTGTCTGCAAGAGAGCTGAACGAAGAGTGTGTTTGCCAGTCGTGACACCACTAACCCCTACTGCAGAGTTAAGTAGTCTGGATAAAGGTTCTAAAGCAGAGGGAGAGCAGGCAACCCTGTCTAGCGCCTTTAGTTAAGGGAATATCAGTGGACATGAAGTCAGGTGTGACCAGTCTAGCTGTGGGTGAAGAGTACATTTGTCATAGACAGTCCAAAATAGGGCCCGAAATACCAAACTTCTGCATGACCATGAAGAGCCAGGCGAAGCTAATGTTATTGATGGCTTTTTCAGTGTCTAAGGATACAAGTGCCAGATCATGCATTGGGTTGGTTTTAGCATATTCTAGGGCCAACAGTTCTTTGCTGATATTAAGCATCGCTGATCGAACAGGTACGAATCCTGATCGAGCATGGTGTAGTATGGTAGGGAGCAGCAAGGCCAACCTGGCCGCCACACTTTTTGATAGTATTTTGGCATCAACACTGATTAGAGATATAGGTCGATAAGATCCTGGCAGCAGTGGGTCTTTCCCCTTCTTAGCTATGAGTTTGATACGTGCTTGGGATCCAGTCGGGAGATAAGGGCCTTCTTCCCATATTGCTTGGAAGACATGATGTAGGATGTCTGGGATGAAGTTCAAGGTTAGTTTATAGAAGTCAGCACTAAGGCCATCAGGTCCATTAGCCAAGGGCAGGTGTTTGATAGTGGCAGAAATGTTGTCCAATGTAATGGGAGCATTAAGAGTATCTAGCAGAGATCGGGTAAGCGTAGGTAAATTCACAGAGGCTAAAAAGTCTGCAGCGACCTTAGAATCAACGGGGTCCTCTGAATACAGCAAGGTGTAATAAGATGTGAGAAGTGCGTTACTATGAGAGGGCAAGGTAAGGAGATTTCCTGTGGGAGATCGGAGCGTGGAAATATAGGTAGGAATACGGGGGCCTGCACAGAGCTGTACTAACAGTTTACCTGCCTTATTGCCACATCTATAAAATTTTAGGGTGGAGTAGGCTGATTTGGCTGCCTCCTGGTGCTCAGCCCAATAATCAAAGGCTCGTTTAGCAGATTGCCAGATCTGCTTGTTCGCTGGAGTGCGGTTGAGGGAGAGCGCAATATGTGCTTGATGAAGAGATTCACTGGCCTGTTAGTATTGCAAACAGGATTGCTTTTTAATTGGTGTGGTATAAGAAATGATGCGCCCTCTGAGGAATGCTTTTCCAGTTTCCCAGAATATATTGGGGTTGGTTAAATGGGCTCCATTCGTATCTGCGAATTCCACCCAGGCTGCGTAAAGATGAGATTTGAAGTCTTTGTTATTGGCTAGGTAGACAGGGAAGCGCCAGGGCAGGGAAGTTTGAGCTTTTAAGCCAGACAGCTGTAGCATAATTGGACAATGATTGGAGATGGTCATATCAAATATTGCAGTTTTGCGTAGTAGGGGTAAGAGAAACTTCGAGCAGAAAAAATAGTCAATGCGAGAGAATGAATCTTGTGGGTGCAAGTAGAACATGTATTCCTCGTCCATCGGGTGGTGGAGGGTGCCATGTATCATGAAGATTAAGTGTAGTAATGGACTGTGCTAGGGCAGTAGGAGGGGGAGACTGATGATGTTTGTCGAGTCTGTCGTGTTAAATGGTCCCTGGTGCGATCAGCATGATTGTGCATGACTGAATTGAAATCCCCGCCCAGTATAAGGCAGGATTCCGGAATTTGTAGGGCCGACGATACCAGGTCTTGGTAGAAGGACTGCCCAGGAGAGTTGGGGGCATATAGATTGGAGATAGCGATGTCACGAGAGGCAATAGTGATGTGTAGGGTACGTTTTTGTGACTCTTAGAATCACAGTTGACAGAGCGGACAGTGTTTTAAATTTTTATGTAACAGTATAGCTACCCCTGCCTTGCGACCTACGAAGGGGAACCATATACCTGCCTACCCATAACTTCGATAGGCGTGAAAGATAATTTGCCGAAAGATGTGTCTCCTGCAAAAGAGCCACATCTGCCCCCAAATGCTTCCAATGTTGTAAAACTTGCATACGCTTATTCGGTGAGTGTAGCCCCTTAACATTCCAAGAGATTACCTTTTAAGTGATCCTTGTCTGTCGTAGTATAAGACTACAAGAGAGCCCACGGAAGGGCAATACCACGCCAGGCATTGCCCAGAGTCCAGATGCATCATAATAATATGCATTTCCTAGGGAAATGCAACAGAAAGGGACAATGACGCAGAATAAAAACTGAACATTTTTAACAAAAAGGGAGGTACTCCCCAACCAAAATAAGAATGTCAATTTTTCCGTATGAAGCAATCTCATGAAGACTCCTGCACTAGAACTCCACTACTGAAATATCCGGGAGGAAAGGGAGAGGAGAAAAAAAAGGGGGAGGGGGAGATGGGGGGGAAAGGGATACATCAGGGATGAGGGTGAGCAGTAGGGGGAAGGAGCGTGAGAGCCTGCCTTGCCTAGCAGGGGGAGGAGACGTACACAACAATTTGCCAGCAGGAGGGCAGGTAACAATAATATATGAGAGCCAAGCCGCGGCGATGCGAGGGCCTAATTTAAAAAAAAAAATGAAACTGAAAACAAGGACCACAGGTTAAGTACAATAGAGTGGTAGACATTAGTCTTCGAGAATGCACAGAGAATGTAGGGTGAGCCAATACCTAGACCATGTGGAGGTAAATCGAGTAACATAACGGTCTTCTGTCCGACCAAAGCGCACACGTTTGTGAGGCAGTTCTTGAGGGCTTGGTTTTGGAAGGGCATAGAGTGTCCCCTGGAGGGGATGAAGATGGTATAGAAGGTGAGCCTTGATCCGTTGCTGTATCAGGGGTATTGTTCCACTTCAGAGGGTGAAGTGAAAGAGAGCCAGTCCCCTTCTGCAGGTTGGATATAGAGGACAGCAGGATATACCAGAGTAAATTTGATATGCTTGTGGTAAAGAGCAGAGCAAATCGTAAAGAAGGCCTTACGTTGGTGCATAACCTCTATAGAGTAGTCCGCAAACAAGAGTAGTTGGTTTCCATCCACAGATAATGCGGGTGTGCATCAAATTTTTGAAGTATGGCTTGCTTGTCAGCATAGTTCAAGTAGTGGACTATCACCGGCCTGGGCTTAGGGGCGGGATTCTGACAGTGGCCCGACACGGTGAGGGAGTGTTTCAGTCGCTCAACTGCACACGGGTAACGGAAGCAGCAGGGATGACCGCAGCCTGGAGAAGATTGTCAGGAAAAGGCCATTCAAAAGTGTTGGGGGGACTTTCACAAGGAGTGGACTGAGGCTGGAGTCAGTGCATCAAGAGCCACCACACACAGATGGATCCTGGACATGGGCTTCAAATGTCGTATTCCTCTTGTCAAGCCGCTCCTGAACAACAATGTCTTACCTGGGCTAAAGAAAAACAGACCTGGCCTGTTGCTCAGTGGTCCAAAGTCTTTTCTGATGAGAGCAACATTTGCATCTCATTTGGAAACCAAGGACCCAGAGTATGGAGGAAGAATGTAGAGGCACACATTGCAAGATGCTTGAAGTCCAGTGTGAAGTTTCCACAGTCTGTGTTGATTTGGGGAGCCATGTCATCTGTTGGTGTCGGTCCACTCTGCTTCATTAAGTCCAGGGTCAACGCAGCCGCCTACCAGGAGATTTTGGAGCACTTCATGCTACCTTCCGCAGACGAGCTTTATGGGGATGCTGACTTCATTTTCCAGCAGGACTTGGCACCTGCCCACACTGCCAAAAGCACCAAAACCTAGTTCATTGACTGTGGGATTACTGTTCTTGATTGGCCAGCAAACTCGCCTGACCTGAACCCCATAGAGAATCTATGGGGCATTGCCAAGAGAAAGATGAGAGATATGAGATCGAACAATGCAGAAGAGCTGAAGGCCGCTATTGAAGCATCCTTGTCTTCCATAACACCTCAGCAGTGCTGCAGGCTGATAGCTTCCATGCCACGCCACATTGAGGCAGTAATTGCTACAAAAGGGGCCCAAACCAAGTACTGAGTACATACGCATGCTTATACTTTACAGAGCTCCGATATTGTTCTATGTACAATCCTTGTTTTATTGATTGCATGTAATATTCTAATTTTTTGAGATTGTGGATTTGGGGTTTTCATGAGCTGTAAGCCATAATCATCACAATTATGAACTATCTTGCTTTGCATGTAATGAGTCTATCTCATATATTAGTTTCACCTTTTAAGTTGCATTACTGAAATAAATGAACTTTTGCACGATATTCTAATTTTTCGAGTTTCACCTGTATTTGCAAAAGATAGCGGGCCAAATCTCCAGAAATTCTTCAATCTCTTGTTCATTTTCAATTTTTGTGGCCTGTATTTCCTTTTTGCATATTCTGTTATATTCTTTGTAATGTTTAAACGATGATTGCGTTCCTTCATTTTTATATTTAATAAAAGCTCTTTTCTTATTATCTATAGCTTTTTTTACTTTGTCCGTACGCCACATAGGTTTGATTTTTTAGCCTTTTAAACTAGTTGCCCATGGGAATATATTTTGCAGTGTGTTCACATAGTCTTCTTGAAGAACTCCCATTCCGTGTTGTGTTAATTGATGCTAATATTCCCTCCCAGTCTTGGAGAGCATCGCTCAGCCTTGGAAAATTAGCTTTCTTAAAAATTGAGCATGTGTCCAATCACAGCTGATCTCATGTAAATGGGGAAATGTCGGTTATCGGCATTTCTCTCCTCACGAGCTGTCATGCTGACAGCTCTAGAGGAGAGGAGAGCCAGTAATCGGCTTTACTCAGAGGGGATATGTACACTGATCATCAGGGCACTGATCATCAGTGTGCCCTGATGATCAGTGTAGCCCCAGAAGTGTCACCTGTCAGTGCTCATCAGTACCACCTGCCAGTGCCTATCAGTGCCACATCAATGTCACATATCAGTGCCTACCAGTGCACATCAATGCCACATATCAGTGCCTATCTGAGCTGCCTTTCAGTGTCACCTGTCAGTGTCACCTATCAGTGCCACCTGTCAGTGCCGCCTATCAGTGTGCATCAGTGCTGCCTATCGGTGCCATATATGAGTGCTGCCTTTCAGTGCCCATCAGTGATGCCTGTCAATGCCCATCAGTGCCACCTACCAGTGCCACCTATCAATGCCCATCACTGCAGCCTCATTAGCGCATATCAGTGAAGGAGAAAAATCACTTATTTACAAAATTTTAAAACAAAAACTAAGAAACTTTTTTTTTTTTTAAATTTCAGTTGTTTTTGGTTTGTTTAGCAAAAAATAAAAAACCCAGAGGTGATTAAATACCACCAAAAGAAAGCTCGGTCTCCAAAAAATGATAAAAATTTCATATGGGTACAGTGTTGCATTACCGCGCAATTGTCATTCAAAGTGTGACAGCGCTGAGAGCTGAAAATTGGCCTGGGCAGGAAGGGGGTATAAGTTCCCCGTAGGCTAGTGGTTAAAAGGAGGTTCCATGTCTTTTTGTTGTTAAACACTTTGTGGCACTGACATACAGTATAAAGCATGCAGTTTCGGATTTCTGACTTTGCTGGCTGCAAACTTGTTCCAATTCAGCGAATCAGAAGCTAGAGAAACCTGGAGCAGCCAGGCAAACATCATTTTTTTTATTAAAAAGATCACACTACAACCTCCATCTGTCTTCCAGTACAGACTTCCTTTCAGCATCAATACAACTTCTAAACCCCTCCTATCTTTCTATAAGGAGGAAGAGTTTGACTCTTTCGGTTTTGTTTTTCTGACCAGGAAATCAGGAAATCAGAGGTAAGTGTTAAAATACATAGCTTTATTCTGAGCTTTCTTTCAGTTCTTGCTTAGCCCATGTAGTAAGAGATCAGTGAAAGAACTGACAATCTATTATTTTGATCTAAAGTTTACTAAACGTGAATTTCAGAACATACATTTGAATGTAGGTGGTAATAACAGTTGTAGAAATAGGGGTTGTAACAGTTGTATAAATAGGAGGTAATAGCAGATGTATAAATAAAGCTGATAATAATTCTGTAAAAAAAAAAAAAGCCAATATAAAAATACACTGTAGCATGCTATAGGCAGTAAAAAGCACGACCATTCTTCCTGTAATCATACTCTGCAGCATTCCACAGTGACGTGTAACACTGAACTACAGCTCTTTGTATGGCCAGGCTATACAAACCTACAATACAAAAGTAATGTTATACAGTTATACAGAACACGAACAGATGCTGTTGGACTAAGGCAGTACATTTTGCCTTTTTCTGTAGATCTAATTTGTTTTGTATTCTTTTGATTACAATCCAGTAAAAATGGCAAGTTGGTCACACTAAACCATATCCTTTTTCTCCCAAAATAATCTGTACACATCAACTACCTAAGGGTCCTGAAATCCTATTGAGTTTTTTTTTTTTTTTTTTTTTTCCTTCGCTTCCTTGAAATATCTGTATGCTCCTGAACATCTCCTTTCCCCTCTCCCTTTTGTTTGAAACCAGCAATGCAAGTTTCTAGGACTGTATGTGCACTACACATCCCATAGTCTTTAGTCCATCTCCAGTGGGTGTGTGTGTGTGTGTGTGGGGGGGGGGGGGGATGGAGGAGGGTGGCTACATTACTACAGACAGTGGCACCATAGAGAATGAAGCCACTCTCTGTCATTAAGTCAGATCACAGCTGAAAAAAGTTTGAGCTAAAAATACGTACTTGAATATATTTTTTTTTCCCCCACACTGGAGTTTAGTGTCACTTTACAGTGCTGCTCTCCAGTTTTGGGAGGACGTCAATGCCTCCTGCACATGCCCCATGAGGTGCACATCAATCACGCTCTGTAATTACTGTGTCCTTTTGGGCACAGCTGATCATAGATTGTGGTAAAGGGCCAATCACAGCAGCCCTTTACCATGTGATCAGCTGTGTCCTTTCCTGACACGCTGTTTGTGTGAGGAGAGAAGAGCTGTTAACGGACCTACAAAAAAAGTACCTTAAAAAAGCCAGTGCACTTGGAAGAAGAAAATGCTAATTAATCATGTTTAAGAATGTTTAACGTTTCTTTCTTCCAGAACACCACTCTCAAAAATGCAAAATGGAGTGTTTTTTTCTGCCTTTAAACACTGAGCTTAAAGGATAAGTTCACCTTTGGAACATCTTACATGTTTTTAGGGTGGAACATGGAACATGTACCCATAGCCGTGCTTGCCACCCCCGAGAGTATGTGGAGAGGTTTCCCCGTACTGTCAGATTTAAAATCAGCGTGGACATGTGGGGCTCCGCCCACATGGCTGCGTCACCCATTCACAGTATTCTGTGAATGAGTGCCTACAAGTCCCCACAGCCTCAGTGGCTGTCGGCTTGTAGTCTTCAATGAACTACCACGGCGCTGTGGAGTACCGTGGTAGTTCATTGAATCTACCTGTCACTATATCTGCTTGACCGTATACCCTGTACGGCAAGCAGATATTCTGACAGGTCTGCAGAAGGACTGGTGCTAAAACTGTTATCTTTGATCTAACATTCACGGTGATACCTCATGTATGGGACAATCGCTGTTTGCGTGCGTGTGGGACCAACGCATGCGCACAAGCATGGGGGGAGGGACACTTTAAATTACAAATTTATTTTTTTTTTTGTACAATGTTGCTTTAAATTTTTTTTGATCACTTTTATTGTGATCACAACGAATATAAATATCCCCTCTGATCGCAATAGGCAATGACAGGTACTCTTTATGGAGAGATCTGGGCTCTATTAGACCCCAGATGTCTCCTTTCCCCTTAAAAACATCTGATCACACCAAGATCAGTGTGATCAGATGCTTTCCCAGTTTAAAAATGGCGCAGTTAACAAGTGGGAAAAACTGGAAGTGAGGATGTATATTATATAGGGCGCGCTTGTTGGAGCCCAACCTCTGTAGCTGTAGGATAAAGGCGCCAGATGGATATCGGGGATGGATGGATGGGAGCAGTAACACTGAGGCAGCTCTTCTTAAAGTGGAAGCAAGGCTCTAATGCAGTAACAAGAAAAAGAGAGGAAGGTGCCTCTAAGTGCAGTTTTGACAATTTATTTAGTAAGCAATGGATAAATTGCACTTACAAGATAAATAGTTAAAAAGACTCATCATGTGGTAATTAGATCCAGGTGGGACATCCATCCATCCAGCAGCAAACTCTGTCTATAGGATCAGGAAGTAGAGTCCAGGATGTGCCTGTGCATCAAAATGAAGCTAGGAGAGCAGAGTCGGATGTAGGAGGTGAAGGGGGCGGTAATGCATTTCGGAGCATGCTCAATAGGCTCCTTCTTCAGACCTGAGCCCCAGTAGAACCCTGACATTTTGAAGGGAATGGGAGGGAGGCAAGTAGTTCCTGGGTCCTAAGGACCTACATGTTTTCCTGCATCGTACAGGAATTAATACAGGTATAAAAACCGAAATAGAAATAAAAACATACGAGAGAATAGCTCTAATGCTTTTGGGTTAAAAAGTATACGAGTGTGTATGTATACATATAATAACATATAACTAAAAAAAAAAAATGGCATATTCAATAGAAGGGAAATAGAAAATTAAATTAAAAATAGGAAATAGACAATTAAATTAAATCTAAAAATAAATAGAATAGAACAATGGAGGTGAAAATAAATGTTAATAATAATGAATAAATCAATGAGATAATGAAAAAGGTAGATTGTTGTACCATAAATAAAAAAATTATAGAAATAAATATAAAAGCAAGATTAAAAACAAAGTTAGAAAAATGCATTTTAATACATGGCCTTGCTATAATAGTATGTGAATTTTATGCATCTCCTTATTATCCCTTTGTGATGTACTAAAAGGGATCGTAGATAAGTGAGAGAGGGATAAGGAAGGGATATACCAAAATGTGTTGGAGGAAAGGACTACTAGTGATAAAGTACAAACAGCTGTATCAGGATATTGTGTTGATATTTATAACCACCATTTGGAAGGAAGCGAATGTCTCTATAAAATGGAGCTTATTTCAAGCTTTTCATTTAGTCCACCAGGGCATAACATATCCAAGGTTTAGATCCAAAAAGTTTCTCTCTGACAAAGACGCATAAAGCGCTCTGCCAGAGGGAGGTCCCGTGGCATTCCTTCAATGTTCCACACACTAAGACCGTCAGTGGATTTATAGTGGTATTCAAGAAAATGTCTGGGTACGCTATGTTGATCTTAAAATACTACCAATCCTCCTGGCCGACCTATAGTGGCCACTATGAACAGTGTCTCTAGCGGCTTCTCACAATATCTAGATTTCTTCTTACAATTGTTAGCCCAAAATCTGCAATCATTTATCAGAGATGGTATATGTCACGATCGCAAGATCGCCGCCACCAACATGCGACAATCTCACGATCGCGACGTCCAATATGTCACGATCGCAGCATCAGACCCCAGCCCTTCTCACCAAACTTGTGACCGAAGGACTAGCCAATCTGAAACCGCAATGTGACGTGCGTAACAATGCCACACCCAGCCGCACCCTGCACAACGATTTTCCAGCTAATGGACAACAGATCGATGTGCCTGAGCGATTGTTACTGGGTCAGGTTAATTACGCAATTAACCCTTCGCACTGCCACCACCTCCTTTTTGTACAGAGAAAGAGGAAACTCTGCATTATCAGCTATAACACTATAATGATCGAAATAATCGTCTGTATAAAACGGTCCGCAGGTCGGTTCTACAGAGGTTTAAACAAACAGTAGCGTTCTCTTTGGAGGCAGGAATTCGTAAATTCCTGCCTCCAATGGCCCTACAACATCAGAACATCCTACTGACAATATGCCATTTTTTTATGCCAGATTAGATTTGTCACTCAGTTCCATAGTCATCATAAGCAAATGGAATATACTATACACAAACACTGGCCAATCTTGCACCAAGACCCTTACTTCAAATCACTTTTACCACAACAACCCAAGTTTTCATACAGGAAAGCTCCCAACTTAAAAGGGAAAATAGCACCCAGCAAATTTAAAATTAAGAGAACACAGTTCCTTTCACCCTTTCCCCTATTCTTGGTATGTATCAGTGCAAAAAACCCTTATGTAAGACATGCCAGTTTATTCATCATGGACAAAAGGAGTTCAGTGTCAAAGGGATATCATATCAGATTAAGGAATTTTTCACATGCTCTTCTGAATACGTGGTCTATTGACTAATTTGTCCTTGTGGTCTGAACTATGTGGGTAGAACCACACGTACCCTTCATAAACATTTTGGCAAGCACCGTCGTCTTATAGAGGATGGAAAAGATGAACATAGCGTACCCATACATTTCTTTGAATGCCA